CAGCCCTGCAGCACCCACGGGCGCCAAGCAGGACGCCCATCATCCAGCTGCTGGGTGCAGCCGAGCCTGTTCCTAGGGCTCTAATTGCCCTCGGCTTTGCTTTGCAGCTCGTCAAAGACCTCAGTCTGCCTCCTCTTGTCCTTGGCGCGGATGATGGTCATCCTGAAGAGCTTGCAGTAGAGCTCCACGGCGGCGGGGCTGTCGTCGTTCCCGGGGATGGGGTAGGTGATCAAGCAGGGGTTGCAGTTCGTGTCCACCACCCCCACCGTGGGGATGTTCATCTTGGCAGCATCCCGGACGGCCACGTGCGTCTCAAAGACGTTGTTGAGGCTGCTGAGGAAGACGATGAGGTCGGGCAGGCGGATGCCGGACCCAAACTGGATGTGGGCGTTGGTGAGCAGGCCGCCTTGCCAGTAGCGGGTGTGGGCGTACTCCCCGCACTCCCGCGCCGTGCTCTCGACCAGGTGGCAGAACTGGCGTTTGCGGCTGACGAAGAGGATGATGCCCTTGCGGTAGGCAATGTGGGCGGTGAAATTGAGGGCCAGCTGGAGGTGCTGCATCGTCTGATCCAAGTCGATGATGTCCTGATCCAGGCGGCAGCCAAAGATGTAGGGCTCCATGAACCTGCAGGGACAGAGGGAGGGCGACACAAGGGGATGGGGCGCTACAGGCTTCGAGCGGCGTTTCTGAATGCTGAGAGGGGTCCCTGTACTTTTGCAGGGCAGTAACCACGCCCAGGCAGAAATGTGGGTCTGTGTGGGCAGTTCCAGACCCAGACCGACCTAGTGCAGCCTCCAAAGGCCGAGTGGTCTAGGGACAGCGCTCCTGCTGTTGACAAGCGCTGAATCACGGAACAGGGTCACTCACCTATGCCGACATCCCTTTTTGTGCCCCAGATGCACCCGAGCATCAAAGAGATCTTTCAGGGAGAAGAGCTCCTTCAAGTTGAAGAAGTCAGGGTGGCTGAGGGGTTCGGCCAGCAGCTTGTCATCCACAGCTGAGAAAAGGAAAAACGTATAAACCACTGCGCCCTCTTTATTGTGTTTGCAGGGGATGAGCCGCGACCGGAGAAAGGGCCCTGATGTGCCCGTGGCCACTTGACCACAACAAGGGTCTGGCGATACCAGCGAGGCCCTTATCACCCGGCCCCTAGTGCCGGCAGTGCCAGGGGTGCGGGAGCCCGGG